GATGAATGCGTAAGTGTGGATATGTGGTGGTGGTGATCGTGGTGGTGGGTACTTCTACCCCTGGATTAGATGATAGAAATATGTTACAGAAAATCTACATGCTTTTGAACATTTTGTAAGGGCGAACTCGATGGCTCAGTGTCTTCCAGACTTAAATAATTATGTGCCAATTGACAGCAATTTGGAATCCCTTGAAACACTATGGCTATTGCTCACAGCTAGTTCTTAGTCATGCTCTTAGCCTGTTAGTATTTGGACCCTGAGTCTTGGAAGCAAATTGTCTGTTATCAAGGAGATAATTTATGTTAAATAAAAATTCAAGTTAAGATTAAGCATAAACGTTGATCAGCATGGAATGAAAAGCAGCTTTTAATACCGCATGAAACCCAGAGACTTCCTAGGAAGATTGGAACAAGTACATAGGATATGTCAGAGCTGCTGGGGTGTTGTTATTGTTAGCTAAGCTTCATTTAGCCTGTTTTAGTTCATGACAGCACAAGCATAAGCCTATGCAAAAACAAAGGCTACGGATCCGACCCTGAGAAAGCTTATTTAATCTTAGGCTTTAAAAGTAAAAATTGTGATGCCAAATTATATTCTCCACTCCTTTTTATAGACAGGGAATTGATGAAAAATAAAAAACCAAAAACCAAGCAACCAAACGAACACAAAATTAAACAAACAGACAAAAATCCTTGAGTGGCCCCGAGACTCCTTAAGTCTGTATCTCAACTCTTTCCTTTTCTGCTAAGTTTGTTAAAGTGGGACCTCAAATGTTTGGAATGTATTCATTCCACAAGCAGTAAAATAAAAAAAAATGACATTTTGTTCGTCTAAAGGGAAACCAGCCATGAGGTGGAAGAGAACGAATAAGCAGAGTACGAGACTTAGTTGCATTGCAAGCTATGTTTAAAGGAGAGCCCTCCACCCATCTATGAAGAACTCTGAAAGACAAAAGTGATCCTAATTTGAGGATGTTTTAGGACCACAATTGTAATATGGATCAATGTACTTACGATGTCTGTATTTCTCTAACTGGATTAAATGGTTTCCTCTATTGGCTTTTTGTGGGCATGAGGATATGCTATCTACTTGCAATGGATCTGCCAGACTTTATAGTAGTTATATTTCCTCACTAAGGACCAACAAATTAACACGCTGCCTTGTGAATCAATCTCTTTTGTAGGGCTGATTAGTATATCTCTCAGGTGTTCATTCATGCTAGAACAGTTTTTCTCATCAGTCCTTGAATTGTACTACACAGATGTTCACGTGGACAGAAACCCAGATGATATTGAGGTAAGGGGTAAAAGTGGCTGTAAGGTGCTTGTATTTTACTATGTGATATATGATATGTATATATGTGTGCGTATAAAATATATATATATATAAAATGTATTTATTTGTAGGAAAATGGTTTGCATTATAGACTGTTATACAAACGGCTTTGGGACACAATAGTGGAGTACTTGTATTACATTATGAACTTAATGTAAAATGTTGTTTTGATACTTAGCTTTTGATTGTAAGAATCAGCAGGTTTAATGAAGATAGGCTAGTGAAAGATAGTATGATCAAGCAAATTCTTCAATGCTATTTTATTCTCAGAATTCATTTTGAGGCACACAGTTCCTGGCATGCAGTGTTAGTGACAAGCCTGGGCTAGATCACACCAACAGGCCTTTGCCCTACAGGTGTTGCACAGAGAACAGGGGAGCAACTAGCCCTGCACTCTCCCACATGCATTCAGTTGTGTGATGCGTTTGTTTATGAACTGAACGCACTTTAAGCAAAACCCTTTGAATGGTGACTTGAATTGTGAAGTTGCTTTCACTTTTGTCTTTGTAATAGATTTGGAAACAATACCCCTATCATTATCTTAGGGCATTTTATACGCAAAGAAACCAAGATATACTGATATTCAGTAACTTGTTAGAAAGAACACAGCTGGTTGAACGCCAAAGTGAAACCTAGGATGAGCTCCTAGTTCTCTGGCCTAGATTTCTTCCTATTGAGATCTGCCACAGGACAGTTTGGAGTAGCTGCAAAGAACTTATGAATTCAAGCTGGAAGATACCTTGAGGCAGACATTCCCAATGCTTCACTGTGTTGGAGTATTTAATGGCCATTTTTGTGTTCACAATGTGTATGAAACACGATGCTAGTTATTGCTGGGTGGAGGAGTTAAAAATAAACCTATTTGAGAGAGAGAGCAAGAAAGGGTATATTTGAGGGGTTGGAAGGAGGAAAGGGAAAATGATGTAAATGTTTTTAATGTCTAAATAAATAAATAAATAAATAAATAAATAAATAAATAAATAAATAAATCCCCTGGTACCTTCCCCCAAGAATCTCGCCTTTAGGGGAGAAGAAGAATTGTCTTTGCATGGATCACACTCCTGTGGACTCTCTTCTTTCTTTGGCCTGAAGATGTAGGCACTGTGGCACTGCCTGTTTCAGTCCTTGACTTGTTTACTGAAAATATTTTTTTGAGTTTTTATTACCCTTTGTTATCACACTCTAGATTAACATTGGTCTCCATCTCTTATCTGTCATTAACATAGTGGGACCATTAATTTCTCATAACCCATAAGACATTTCTCCTTGGATTCTTGCCTTCATCTCAAACTTAACAGGTCAAAACAAGAGCTCATCATGTCCTGCGTTCTCACTTTTATCCCAGGTTACCTGTTGCTACAAATAGCATTAACACCAGTGCCTGCATTCTATAGTATTAATATTTTGGAGTTACTTCTCAGCTATTCTAACAATGTTTGTAATCTAATCACTTCCCAACTTCCATTTAGTCTTTCTTTTACAGGTCTCTTCAGTTCTTCTTCATCTCATTTCCAATACCACCAACCTAAGCTTAACTTTTATTCAAATTTTCTTTCTGTTATTTTCCAGCCCAGCCAGTTCACTGTAGCCAGGTTAAGATTCTTGCTGCTATTGCTCCTGGTGCTATTTCTGGTACCAAAATGGAATTCAGACACTGCAATATTTTTGCCATTTACCACAGGCAAACTTATTCAATATAGTCCCAAGTTTTACCTCCTTTCTAAAGCCTTCTGCACGTGGTCTGTATTCTACCTTTGGACTTATCGGTTTAATTATCTCACATTGTTCCATTCTTTATGTTTTATAGTCACAGCAGCATTGTAATTTCCCCTAAGCATAGGGACTATGTCTTATCTACTTTGGACGTAAGACTTTGTTTGTACTGAGCTTGAACAATACTTGCTTTATTGGGTTATAATAAATTTGAGATATTTCAATTGGAACACAGGAAATAGTAAAATAGACGAAAGTAAGCTAGGGATGTAGCTCAGTGGTGGAGTAGTTGCTAAGCATGCTCAGAAACCTGGGTTCAATTCCCAGCGTTTCCCCCTCCCCCAAAAAGATAAAAGTAGAAGTCCTCAGAGAGCCATGCTAATTGAGAAATGATTACAGTTACCATTCATGGCATCAAGGCTCCAAAGTTGGGCATGCCCCTTGAGTATCAGTGCTTGGTACCCCAAAGGCCAACTTATCAGTGCATGGACCATGGAAGGATCATTCTAATAAATGCATTAGAAGTTTAATTAAAGGTAGGAGAGAGCAGGTAATGGGAAGTGAACATGTGTAACAGTAAATTAGGAAGACATTGACATGGCAGATTCAGCCTTGCCCTAAACTGTGAACTTTCTGTTTTAATTGATTGGATCATGGTCTAGATATTTTTTGTGGGACCTGAATGACCAGCATAATTAGGATTTGCACAGAATGAGAAACAGTATTTTTTAAAAGAGATAGATGTAACTATAATATATGAAAATGAGAAACAGTACTTTTAAAGGACATAAATGTAAATATAATATTGATTGGGCTTATTTACTATGTAAACACAGGTAGCTTTTAGTCACAATTGGTGTATTATTTGTAAATAATGACAGGAAAGAATTTTTCAGTGACTTAAATTTGATGCCACAGATATGATAAACTTAAAATTGTGTAGACACAAATTTCAGCTAGAATATACTGCGGCCATGATACTTAATAAAACATAAAATGTTTGCTATCATTCTTAAAGCACTCTACAAACAAATCCAAGTTAGCTGCCCTCTAAATATATGGAAGCTTGTTTGATTTCAAAACAATTGTAGGGACAGGGATTTAGATCCACTGGATTTAAAGAGGCAGCGCCTGCCAGTCTACCTGGACACCATTGAAAATAGTCAGCTAATCCTGACAGCTAAGAAGAAAAATGCGCTTGCCCTAAGAATTTGATTAAATCATGTGATTTCTTAGCTCGGTGTTAACCTAGTGTGTTTTATTCTAAGTTACAAAGTAGATCGTAGGCATTTCTTCTGTTTATCTGCAGCTGAGAAGGCTTTCTTTTTGCAGTCTTTAGTCAACTTGCCAATTTCTAGCAGTGCGGTGTGCTTCAAGGAAATTGCTTAACCTGTTTGAGTCTCCTTTTATATTTGTCAAAGTGAGGGCGTGGGGGAGGGGAGAATGAGAACCAGAGTGAGAATGAGGGAGCGAGGGAGAGGGAGAAACATCCTGCCTCAGTTATAGGATGCTGAGAAGTTTAAACGTGTGAAACTTCCTTGTGAAAATTCTAGGTCAGCCCTCAACTGTTCGGTTTACCTGCAGCGGTCACTGTACCCTTTTATTCCACATTAAAGGCAGCTTGAACTGCATTAGAGTAGCTCTGCTGCAGCCTTAAGATGGGAGCTTAAGGTCTGTTTTGCACTTTTGGCTGAATTGTAAAGGCCCTGGAGACTTGGGGAGTGTTACCTCGACAGTTTGCCATATTGTGCCTGCAGCAGAGGCAGTGAGCCACACTTGTTGACAGGCTGACTAGATGATCAGATCTCTGGCCAAGAACCGAAGCAGAAAGAATTCAGATTAGCAGCCTAATTTAAAGCAGATAAGGCAGAGCAGGTACCCCCAAACTCTGAGGTATTTGGTAAAATCTGGCATCAGAGAACTTTACTCCATGCCCCCAATTTCCTTACCTGCTGATTCCAAGCTTCACAGTTTAAGGTCCTGTCGAGTTTGCTCCCTGAAGCAAGAGCCAAATCTTCAGAAAATCCAAACTGTAAGTCCCCTGGAGAGCTAGCCCTGGATAGTGAGCTGCAGAATAAATCTGGGTCCTCTGGATGGTCCACTCCATTCACAGGGCGTCTGCTCTTTAGGAAAGCTGCTTTTCAAGAGGAGAGAGGTCAGGGCATGGCACGTTTGCTAGCCAGTATATACCGATTCTTCTTCCTCTTTCTGATTAGTCCTCAAACTGCTTAAACCACGCCAGTGTTTAGCTTTCCTGGTGCAAAGTGGGAGAAGGGAGGGAACAGAAAGGGAGAAAGAATAGAAACTGGAGACTTGCAGGTTATATGCATAAATGAGTGTTTATCTCTAGCTACTGCAATAGAAGCCTCAGGAAGTCATGCAGCTGCTCTGAGGTGGGAAGTAAGGAGGAGTGTGTGCTGTTCAGCTTAGTTCTCTCTGATTTTTATGACTGGAGGGTGGTTAGGCTATTTGTAGGCGGGGAAAGATAATCCTAGTAGTATATGCTAATATAACTGGCTTTATGTGAATCTCAATCTTAAGATAAGATATATTTCCTCCCTCTCTCTGTCCCACCCTCCCTCCTCGCCCCCACCCTCTTTCCTTCCCTCCCCCTCCATCTCTCCCTCTCTCTGTGTGTTTCCCTCCTTCATGACATTTGTGATTCTATAAAAAAATTTAAAAGTCCGTTTATTTTTGGTAACTTATGTCCTAGAAGAAAAAGGACATTCCAATCTAGTATGTGCTTCTTAGAGCCTGAGGCAAGATTTTGATGTTGAAAACAAATTGATAAGACTATGAAGTAAACCGGGTAAATGAACTACACTGAATTTTACTATCAAAATACTGTGTTGGGATAGACATATATATCAACGCTTTGTAAACATAGCCTCATTGTTAATAACTAGTTTGAATGATTTCTAAATGTCCGGATAACAGTCCAACAATGATTTTCTGGCCTGTTATGGGCTACAAGAAAAAAAATCACTCCAATTTTGTCTCTTTAGGTAGCAGAGTGACTTTATAGTCACTCTTCATTCTCTTCTACAGCATCTTTGGATGTGGTGGTAATGATGATGCTTGGGAGAAAAGGTCATTTAAGTATATTTAAAAGAGAAGATGACATTTGGATTCAAGACCAGACTCTAATCTTATCCTTGGGAAGTTTATCAGCTGGTATTTTAATTAGTATTTCTTCAATGTAGTTGGGCTCCCCAGAGATTTATAAGGAACTTGGTTAGAGATACAAAATATGCACTTTTACTTTTCCTCTGGTGTGAGTCGTTTACAAGCATTTTGACTTACAGTAGAAGGGGAATTTATATCTAGACGTTGAAGAAAAGAGCTTTAAGATAGCACCATTGCAGGGGTGGCAGTGAGGGGGTGCTGCCCTACTTGTTTACGTCTTTAGTGTTTCTCTGTTCCTGGGTTATGGGAAGAACAGTGTAACACTCAGCCCCATGGGGCCTTGTACAGCTGCTTGACTCCTACCTACCGTGTTCTCTGTTATTGACTGTATTCCATTTCTCCTTTCCTATCCCTCACATCCCTTGTTTTCTTCTCCATCCAATTTCGTCTATCTCCCCACACTGCCTAAAAATGATGAACTGGGTAAATTGACACTTCTCTGCTGTTATCTCCTCACCTTTTTCACTTTCCTCGATCTTTTCAGTTCTGACTTAAAAACATGGCAGAGAAGACCAAGTAAGGAGTGCTGAGGGAAATGGGGACTCGCATGTGTGTTACATGGGGAATCTATGTCAGTAAAGCACCACTTGGGTAGACGGTTGAGTGGTTTTCAGCCATGTGGTAATCACACAGTAACTGTAAGTCACCAGATCTTCTCTGGAGATTGTACAAACTCAGAACTGAAGGGGGCCTTCGAAATGACCTTGTTTAGATTTTATATTAATTTTAACTCAAACAGACATGGCATACCTGTTTTATTATTGATTTCTCCAGGTGTTAGCTCATGGCTTTATTTAGTTTGTTTAATAAATAACACAATTCAGCTTTCTCATATTGCAGATAAGAAAATAGGCCAAAGGAAAAGAGGCTCTCACAAGGTGTCCCCCACAAGCTCACTTTTTAAAATTTTATTTTTTATTGTAAAGAAAGTTTTTTTCATACAATATATTGTGATGACAGTTTCTCCTCCCCCATCTCCTCCTAGATCCTTAACAACTCCCTGTGCCTTTAACTCCATTCCTTCTTTCTCCCTCTCTTAAGAAAACAGACAGGCAAATAAAAAAGACAAACAAGGATAAGAAAGAGAACCAAACAAACAGAGAAAGAGCATGAGAAATGAATATACACACATACTATGAAGAAAATAAAAGATGTCTGTACACACTTCCTTCTAGCCCCTTGCAATTTAGTTAGCTCTCCTAGTTGCTTGTCCTGTGACATTACCAGCAGATTCCCTAACACACACACACACACACACACGGGGTGAGAAGGCACAATACATCCATGGTTTTTGTTTACAGAAAAATCAGTCTGGCTTTTGAAACATGGTCTCCACCAATTAATTTCTTCTTTCTGCTCCAGTATCCAGCCTGTAAGTACAAAGCAGTGCTGAGTTGTAATTTCTAGTGAGTTAAGGACATTGTGATTGCATTACAGTGAGTGAAATTGAAAACCCTGAAGAACAGAATAGCATAGACCACTTAGGGCAGATTCTGAACATCTAAGCTAATTCTCCATACATTCTTCTATTCTGTTCAATGCGATAGCTGCTAGCCACATGCAGTTATTTAAACTTGAGTGTAAATCAATACAACATAAAAGTCTATCCTTTGTCCCCCTAGCTATATTTCAGGTGCTCAGTAGCATAGCCACATGTGGATGTGACTACTGTATTTTAAAACAATGATTTAGAACAAGTGGTATAACTAATACCTGGCTTGTGTTGAAGATGTCACTAGTATAACGTCATGTATAAATAATTGGCAAAGTTTCCCAAATAACCCATATCTCTCTCCTTTCAGTCAAGTGTGAACAATTTTATTTCAACCTACTATGTATTTATTTCTATCTTAGTATGTATATGTGAACACTACTCAAGGTGGAGTTTGTGTAGGCTTTGAAGGTTTTGATTTGGTGTGGGGAAGAGGAAGGTGTTTGGTTAGCATGATGAGGGAGGTCCTTTGCATAGTTCTTTTCTTTCTTCCCTGATAGACCCAAAATGTAGCATGAGAGTCTTATTAATACAATCAAACCCGGGGCCAGTTGTTGGGGTGAAATGCTGGATGGTCAGAGAGACAGAACAAGCCACAGCTAGCTCACCTCAGCTGGTCTTGTTTCCTCAGACTGGAAGCTTCTGTGTCCTCATCCCAATTGCTCTCAGCTGAACTGTTGCTCAAAAGCCTGAAGCTTAACCAGCCAAAAGCTTAACTGGCCAAATACTTCTAGTTTCTGGTCCTCATGCCTTTTAAACCTTTCTGCTTTCTACCACTACTCCCTGGGATTAAATTCTGGGATTAAAGGCGTGAGTCACCATGCCTGGCTGTTTCCAATGTGGCCTTGAACTCACAGAGATCCAGAGGGATTTCTGTCTCTGGAATGCTAGGATTAAAGGCGTGTGCTAACATTTTCTAGCCTAAGTATCTTGTGGCTTTTCTGTTCCCTGACCCCAGATAAGTTTATTAAGGTACACAATATTTTGGGGAACACAATACCACCACACCCAAAGGAAGAAATACACATTGTATACTACAAAGAACAGGTTATGCAAAATAGAAGCTGTATTAATTATGATCTCTCTAGTTTTACCTTCCCTTACACAATGTTTTGTCCCTATGTCTAGCTGGTGGTGATCAGTGGAGGTGCAGAAGTGAGCTGGCTTGGTGGGTCATTTTGGTACCTGAGTCTGTTGGGTATGTGTGGTCAGAAAATTTGCAAATAACCACCAGACCTAGGAACTAGAGTGTCTTAGTTAGGATTACTATTGCTGTGATGAAATATAATGACCAAAAGCAACTTGGGGAGGAAAAGGTTTATTTCACTCACAGTTCATTATAAAAAAAAAACCAAAAAAACAAACAGTGAAGGCAAGTATTCAAGCAGGGCAGGAACCTGGAGGCAGAAGCTGATGCAGAGGCCATGGAGAGTGCTGCTTACTGGCTTGTTTCCCATGGTTACTCAGCCTGCTTTCTTATAGAACTCAGGTCAATCAGCCCAGGGTTGGCACCACTGACAATGGGCTGGGCCCTCCAGCATCAATCACTAATTAAGAAAATGCCCTACAGGCTTGCATTCACCCCAGTCTTATGAAGGCAGTTTCTCAATTGAGGGTCCCTCATCTCAGATGACTCTAGCTTTGCATCAAGTTGACATAGAACCAGCCAGCACACAGGGCCAAGTTGGACTTGTTTTCATCTTAGCCTTTGCTCCAAGGGAGTGACTGTAAGGCTGGAATTAGCCAAAGGCCACCTAATGACTAGGGGCTTTTCCTTAACTAGATGTACTATCTGCCTGCTAACTACTTAAATTCTTGTCAAGTTTAAGGGGTTTTTTTTAGGAAAATGAAAGGGAAAAAAAAGATAAGTCATTGTGCTACAAATTCCTAGTAAATGTGATGTTGTAACTGGTCTCTGTTGAGAGCTATTTTAGGAAAGTCTAAGTCTGTAGCTCCTCAAATCCCTTGATATTCAAAGTGACTTGACATCACTTTATATGTAGTTCATGGCAAAAGTCCTCTCATAGATGCCTTTAAATTCAGATCCACTGAAGAGAAGAAGCAGGACTGACTTGCACTGGGACTGTCACCCACTCTAGGTGGGAGAACTTGTATGTAAAAATCAGACTTTGAATTTGCAATGATGGGCTGGAGGAACTGAGAAGTCTATCCTCCTGGGAAGATGAGCTCATCAAGGGGATGTAGAGAGGGAATTTGAGATTTCAAAGTATGTTTCCCACGGTGAATCAGCAGCTAGGTTTAGGAGACACAGAACATGGTTCTGGGTTTGACTTTCCCTGTAACTCATGAATTTGTACTCATGTAGATTCCATTCCCACAGAATGCTGGAGGTAGATAGAACCATGGAGGATGCAAATTAGCTGTAGTGTTATTATGTCTGATTTCAGACTAAACCTAGCTCAATGTTCTTATGTGGCAGATGAAGAAATGGAGTCCATGCTCTCTCAAAATGAATTTTGTCATCCTTGGATAAGCTATTCTGTCAATGTGTGTCTTAGTGTTCTCATTAGAAAAAAAGATGATACCACCAGTTATGCCTATTTCACAGAATTTAAAATTCAACCAAGGAAGGTATGGAGTTGGTAGAGTGCTTACCTAGCATGCTTGAAGCCCTAAGTTTGATCCTCAGTACTACATGTGTGGTTGCGGTGGCATATATCTGTAATTTCAACACTCTGGAGGCAGAGGCAACATGATGAGCTCAATGTCATTCTTGACTACATAACAAG